AAGCATCTTTCTGTCTCATTGCAAACCACAATAACGCTCGATGTTGGCTTAAATAAACCACCCCTATCTTTGAAATTCAGAAAGCTTGCTGTTAAACTTACATGCTTTGTGCTTCCCAGTGCATTGCTGCAAATAAGACACATGGTCCTTTTATCCACCATTTTTGCAACATACCCAGCAATGTATGAAATGGCAGACATCTTGAACTCTGACAGGTAGGCAAAGTTTGGTGCATCAGTATAATCATGCTTAATAGAGAGTGCGGGAAAATAACCGACCCGAGCGAGGCTCGAACTCACGACCCCTGACTTTGTACGTCAAGTGCTCTACCGCTGAGCTATCGGGTCCTGCTTTCAAGCCAACACCCAAGGCCGAGTCATTCACCCGCACTGCCCCTCTCTTTTACCAGATACACAGATGACTCGGCCTTGGGTGTTGGCTTGAAAGCACGACCCGATAGCTCAGCGGTAGAGCACTTGACGTACAAAGTCAGGGGTCGTGAGTTCGAGCCTCGCTCGGGTCGGTTATTTTCCCGCACTCTCTATTAATTATCTTCGAAATCCTGTTGTCTGTAAACTTTCTCTTCAACCCTATCCAGTGTTGGGGCTGCGATGGCCCTCCTGGTGTGGGCAGTCTTCTCTCATTCTTCAGGTCCTCTGCACTTTGTGATGGAGCTGCGATGGCTCCCCTGCGTATCTGGTAAAAGAGAGGGGCAGTGTGGGTGAATGACTCGGCCTTGGATGTTGGCTTAAAAGCACGACCCGATAGCTCAGCGGTAGAGCACTTGACGTACAAAGTCAGGGGTCGTGAGTTCGAGCCTCGCTCGGGTCGGTTATTTTCCCGCACTCTCTATTAATTATCTTCGAAATCCTGTTGTCTGTAAACTTTCTCTTCAACCCTATCCAGTGTTGGGGCTGCGATGGCCCTCCTGGTGTGGGCAGTCTTCTCTCATTCTTCAGGTCCTCTGCACTTTGTGATGGAGCTGCGATGGCTCCCCTGCGTATCTGGTAAAAGAGAGGGGCAGTGCGGGTGAATGACTCAGCCTTGGGTGTTGGCTTAAAAGCACGACCTGATAGCTCAGCGGTAGAGCACTTGATGTACAAAGTCAGGGGTCGTGAGTTCGAGCCTCGCTCGGGTCGGTTATTTTCCCACACTCTCTATTAATTATCTTCGAAATCCTGTTGTCTGTAAACTTTCTCTTCAACCCTATCCAGTGTTGGGGCTGCGATGGCCCTCCTGGTGTGGGCAATCTTCTCTCATTCTTCAGGTCCTCTGCACTTTGTGATGGAGCTGGGATGGCTCCCCTGTGTATCTGGTAAAAGAGAGGGGCAGTGCGGGTGAATGACTCGGCCTTGGGTGTTGGCTTGAAAGCAGGACCTGATAGCTCAGCGGTAGAGCACTTGATGTATAAAGTCAGGGGTCGTGAGTTCGAGCCTCGCTCGGGTCGGTTATTTTCCCGCACTCTCTATTAATTATCTTCGAAATCCTGTTGTCTGTAAACTTTCTCTTCAACCCTATCCAGTGTTGGGGCTGCGATGGCCCTCCTGGTGTGGGCAGTCTTCTCTCATTCTTCAGGTCCTCTGCACTTTGTGATGGAGCTGGGATGGCTCCCCTGTGTATCTGGTAAAAGAGAGGGGCAGTGCGGGTGAATGACTCGGCCTTGGGTGTTGGCTTGAAAGCACGATCCGATAGCTCAGCGGTAGAGCACTTGACGAACAAAGTCAGGGGTCGTGAGTTCGAGCCTCGCTCGGGTCGGTTATTTTCCCGCACTCTCTATTAATTATCTTCGAAATCCTGTTGTCTGTAAACTTTCTCTTAAACCCTATCCAGTGTTGGGGCTGCGATGGCCCTCCTGATGTGGGCAGTCTTCTCTCATTCTTCAGGTCCTCTGCACTTTGTGATGGAGCTGCGATGGCTCCCCTGCGTATCTGGTAAAAGAGAGGGGCAGTGCGGGTGAATGACTCGGCCTTGGGTGTTGGCTTGAAAGCACGACCCGATAGCTCAGCGGTAGAGCACTTGACGTACAAAATCAGGGGTCGTGAGTTCGAGCCTCGCTCGGGTCGGTTATTTTCCCGCACTCTCTATTAATTATCTTCGAAATCCTGTTGTCTGTAAACTTTCTCTTCAACTCTATCCAGTGTTGGGGCTGCGATAGCCCTCCTGATGTGGGCAGTCTTCTCTCATTCTTCAGGTCCTCTGCACTTTGTGATGGAGCTGCGATGGCTCCCCTCTGTATCTGGTAAAAGAGAGGGGCAGTGCAGGTGAATGACTCGGCCTTGGGTGTTGGCTTGAAAGCACGACCCGATAGCTCAGCGGTAGAGCACTTGACGTACAAAATCAGGGGTCGTGAGTTCGAGCCTCGCTCGGGTCGGTTATTTTCCCGCACTCTCTATTAATTATCTTCGAAATCCTGTTGTCTGTAAACTTTCTCTTCAACTCTATCCAGTGTTGGGGCTGCGAT